CGGGCTCGCAGTGAGGGGGAACGGAGGTGCACATGGCGGGGGGCGGGGGGGAGCTCCTGACTCATCGCGGGCCGGCTTCTCTCCCCTCCGCCATGCGGGGCGGGTGCCAGCTCAGTGACCCCACTCCCTTCCCCCCGCCAGATGTGGAAGTGCCGCTCGGACCCAGTTCTCCACATTGACCTGCGACGGTGGGCAGACCTCATGCTCGTGGCCCCGCTGGATGCCAACACCCTGGGGAAGGTGGCCAGCGGCATCTGCGACAACCTGCTTGTGAGTGGGGCCTGGTGCCCGGCCCTCCCCGGGGCTGCTGGGCCGTAACCGTCCCTGTACCTACCCCTGGGCCTGGCCGTGCTCAGGAAGAGCAGTCCTCCTAGTCTCACTGCTCTCCAGCCAGTGGCCAAGCGGCCTGGTCCTGCTGGGCCAGCCTGACCGCTATGCTGCCCCAGCACGGCCGCCTCTCACCGCCCCTCGGCGCCCAGTCAGGCACCTAGCCAGGCACCCCCCTCAGCCCCTCCTCTCCCTCGGACCCTCGTCCTCTGTCCTTGGTCTCCCCGCCTGGTCCCATGCCCGTCCCTTCAGCTCTGCCCACCAGGACCTGGATCACGCGTGGCCCAGTGGCACTGCGTCCTCGGGGATCACTCGCACATCTTGCTCTCGTGGCTTCTCACGGGGCTGAGGCACAGGTGCCCTGCGTGTCGGGGAGCGCTCCGTTGCTGGCCCTGGGTGACCTTGGGAGGAGCGGTTTGTCGTGACTTATGGTTTAGTGGCTGGGTCATGCCAAGGCGTAGGGCTGACCTGCAGCATGGCAGGGAGCAGGATCGTGGCAGAGTGGCCACCTGTCCGTTTCTGGGTCCCCTTCCCTCTGCTCATACACCCCCGGAACCGGCCTTGGGGCCCCGCCTGTGTGATGTGACCACATCTGAAGGCCCCACCCTGGATACCACACGGGGATCAAGGTTTTCACTTCACACGTCTCCCATACAGACAGGTCCCAACAAGTCCCAAGTCCCTGGTGTAAGGGGACACCCAGTCACCGCCCGCTAAGTCCAGGTCCCAGAACATGAAGTCTTGTGGGGTAAACGTATCCAAAGTGTAATGGAGGAGAGAGGAGGGTGAGGGAGAGGCTGGTGGCCGGGGAGGAGAGAAGCAGAAGCCCCCCCAGCTGGCAGAGTGGGGCTTCCTGAGCCCCGAGAGGCTCTGGGAGCCGTGTCCTCCAAGAGGCCCTTTGTCATCAATCTTTCTGGAAGGACCAGGTGACCTGCCCCTCTCCCCTCTCCTTGTCACCCTGCTCTGTTTATTGCACGCCCGGCTTCTTACTGGGAGCTCGAGCACAAGGACCTCACGCTGCACGGGCCACCGGGACCGCCGGGAGAGGCTTTTCCGTCACCCAGTGGGGGGCGGGGGGGAGCAGGACAGTCTTTGCCAACCCCGTCATTGTCCTGTGTCAGCCCCGCCTTGCACAGGGCTAGGTGTGTGGTGGGGTTCAGTACATGCTTACTACACGTATGACGTGACCGGAAGGCTGCTGTGCAGGTAGCCGGGAGCTTTTCAGGGTCCGATGTGGTACAGGAAGCGAGTAACGGGGCTGGGTCAGGATTTGGGGCGTTCGTGTGAGATCCATGTCCTTGTCTACGGGTGTTAGGGTCGAAGCGTCTGCAACTGATTTAAGCGTCGTTTGTGTAAGAGCACAGGGTGAAGAAGAGCGACCACCGACCACCGTGCGAGGGGCTGGGGGCAGCTGCCCACTGAGTCCAAATTCAGAGCTTCAAGCTTTGGGGAGAAGGGAGGGCTGGGAGCTGCGGTGTCTTGCAGGGCTGACCAGAGGCTGGGGCAGCCGAGGCTCCTGGCCCGTCCCTGGAAGCAGGTCAGAGCCCTGCAGAACCAGCACCAGCTCCCAGTCTCCATCCTCCCTCCCTCCCCC